GGGGGGGGGGGGGGGGGGGGGGGGGGGGGGGGCGGTCGGCTGACCTGGTCGCGCTCGGCCTGCAGCTCCCGGCTCTGGCTCTGGATCATGGTGCACTTCTGCTGCTGCATTTTTCCGTCCAGCGTCATCTGCTGCACCTGCAGGCCCAGACGCTCCTTCTGCTCCAGCAGCTGAAGAAAACACGCAAACACGCCCCCCCGGTTAGTTCATCCAGAGACCAGCCCCCCCGGTTAGTTCATCCAGAGACCAGCCCCCCCGGTTAGTTCATCCAGAGACCAGCCCCCCCAGGGCTGGATATCCAACTCCTCCCACATCCAAGTCGGCCATTTTGATTAGGTCATGTGACTAGCAGCTTTCTGAGGTGGAAACAAACTTTACTGTCTATACGAAATCGGAAGATAAACGATGTCCGAACCCTAACCATAACCCTAACCCTGACCCTAACCCAAACCCTTAACCCTAAACATAACCCTAACCCTGAACCTAATCCTAATCCTAATCCTAACCCTAAACCTAACCCTGACCTTAACCCTGACCCTAACCCTAACCCCTAGCCTGACCCTTATTCTAACCCTAACCCTGACCTTAACCCTGACCCTAAACTTGATCCTAACCCTTCATAATAGTGAGAAATAAATATTTTTTGGTTAAGCTTGTTTGGACTTATTGTACAAACCTATTTAACATCCACAATTTTAACATAATATTATGGATAGAGTTTAAGTGTTTGCAAGATTAATTTCACTATTTTTAAATTAATGTCTATATTGCCATGAAGCTATTAGGATTTTCTTGCCTGGTATCTTCCTATTGGTGACCTAATCAAAATGGCCGACTTCCTGGTCCGGCTCCTCTCACCTCCTGCTTGTCCCGGAGCAGCTTCTCGTTCTCCTCCCTGTAGGTCCGGAGCTGCTCGGCCAGCTCCACCTGGCTGTCGATGGCCTCCGCCAGGTCCTGGGCCAGGATGTCCCGGCGGGCCTGGGGGGGGCAAGGGGAGTTTTACAGCCTCTGCTTAGACTTAGACGTTTACTGTATTGGTCCCTTGGGAAGACTCCCTCAAGAAATTAAAGTTACCAGCAGCTTACAGGGCAAGAAAAAAGGGGCACACAGAGAGTAAAATGCAAAAAAATACAGATTAAGTACAGAAAATAAAAATCCCTGAATTAAGCAAAAATAAGAATATAAATAGACGCATCTCCACCAAACCAGGGAGCGTCCAAAAATGCAAAAAAATACAAAAAATACAGATTAAGTACAGAAAATAAAAAACCCTAAATTAAGCAAAAATAAGCAAGGAATAAAAATATAAATAGACGCGTCTCCACCAAACCAGGGAGCATCCCAAAATGCAAAAAAAAATACAGATTAAGTACAGAAAATAACCCTTAATTAATCAAAAATAAGCAAGGAATAAGAATATAAATACACCAAACCAGGGAGCGTCCCAAAATGCAAAAAAATACAAAAAATACAGATTAATTACAGAAAAGAAAAAAAAACTAAATTAAGCAAAAATAAGAATATAAATACACGTCTCTCCACCAAACCAGGGGGCGTCCCAAAATGCAAAAAATACACATTGAGCACAGAAAATATAACCCCTAAATTAATAACAAAATAAGCAAGGAATAAGAATATAAATAGACGCGTTTCCACCAAACCAGGGAGCATCCCAAAATGCAAAAAAATACTGATTAAGTACAGAAATAAAAACCCTAAATTAAGCAAAAATAAGCAAGGAATAAGAATATAAATACACCAAACCAGGGAGCGTCCTAAAATGCAAAAAAATACAAAAAATACAGATTAAGTACAGAAAATTAAAAAAAACTCAATTAAGCAAAAATAAGAATATAAATACAAGCGTCTCCACCAAACCAGGGAGGGTCCCAAAATGCAAAAAAATACAAAAAATACAGATTTAGTACAGAAAATAACCCTTAATTAATAAAAAAGAGCAAGGAATAAGAATATAAATACACCAAAACCAAGAATACAAAAATACTGATTAAGTACAGAAAATAAAACCCCCTAAATTAAGCAAAGAATAGGAATATTAATACACGTTTCTCCACCAAACAGGGGGCGGTTACCGGACTTACCGGCTCCAGTTTCTCGGCCTTGGCCAGCTGGCAGCGCAGGCTCCGGACCTCCTCCTGCAGCCGGGGGGTTTCGGGGGCCGA